TTAGGTGGAAATGGACGTTAAATAAAGCTATTTCACACACCATGGATCACTGCGTTAGTTTTATTCGTTTAATGAATTTTGTGACAGTCAGTTTAATGGTACATGTACAAGTACAAGCAAGGTGATGGGAAAAGTTAAGTATGAACGCATAGTTCATTATCTTAAAGGAAGACGAATCTATTTTTTTATTGCTAGCATGCCACTGCCCGAAACAACCATTGATTTTATCAAAATCTTCGAACGGTATTTATGTGGAGTTGCACACAATAATATATTTTAGTGGGAACTGACCAATTTTTGGCTGCTCACAATCCGAAGGAATGGAAAGAAAAGTATGATCGCACAGTTGAATTACCTTAAAGGAAAGCAGTAGTGAGAATTCAGAAACACGTAGCCTACATTGCACTTAATAAAATATTTAAAAATCTGTCAACTGTTTGTTATAAATGTATTTATCTCACTTATACAAAAATAACACTGAAGTTTACGGTCATTACCGCAAATATTTTTGGACAGTTGACATATAGCAAAGATTATCTGTAGACTCAAACTGAAATCTTATTCTTAGCACACACGTTAATTATGCAGTGATATTGAAAATTATTTGAAAAATCATTACAGACAAAGTCGATAGAGGACAGATATCTAACATCCTACTTTGATCCTTAAACCATCGAGTAATAATCAGTGCAAAGTTGACGATCTGCACACCAGCTTGATAGGTGCAGATTACAATCGGAGTATACAGGGTCCAATCTGTGTGGACAAAGTGGACTCGGCATGAGCCCAACAGTTACATCCATTCACTTTATATTTATATATAGTTAATATAGTGGGCTATGTGTTTCAGTTTATTGTTTTATCCAAAAATTCTGCATCTGATGTATATAGGCTTAGAACTTTTTTTAGTCATTGCCAAATCACTGGAGCAGTATAAACCTCTAAAGTTAAAGTCAGATCAGGTCAGTCTTCCCAACCTCCAAAGGGCTAATATCTAATATAATTTTGGTGTATTATCAAATTTAATAGCATTAATCTATAATTGTAATTATTTAGTTACAAATGAACTGCCAATGCCAAAAAATATTAAATTATAGATAATATGATCATTTACAGAAATCAGAATGATTAGAATTAGAAGTGTGAAAAGCAGTAGAAAGCGTCAGAAATGTCAGATAACTACCATATTTGAGGTCGAGTCGACATGCCACTGTCTTATTTAGACAAACACAAAGGTAAAGGTAAACAGTGATTATATTTACCTGAAGCGTGTCAGTGTTTACCAATAAGATTAGACAGCTTCTCTTCTCAAACACAACTTCACCACACCCCATTTAATACTAGATTATCCGGTCTTACTGGATCAGACACAAAACAGAGTTATTTCCCTTATACCAGACAGTATCCTGCACATTTTTTAAACTAAAAAATGCTAGGCTAGTTATGTTTTTCAAGGTAACTCGTGTAAAACAACTAAGTGAGTTACAGATTACGATAAATCCCACAGCTAAAAAAAAAATCAATTATAATCCGAAGGATAACACACAAGGTGTCTTTGAGTCCATTTCTCTTCCCCCAAAGTCCATATTTTCCAGAGGTGTCAGACCCCTTAAGAAAAAAGAAAAGAAGGTTGTGGGCCAGTAGCCTATATGTTTGCCACAATTACAGAACTAGTTAGTATAGGAAATGAAATGAAATGGGGCTTAACGTCCTTCTGCTCTGACTGGACTAATGAAGTAATACGCCATGAGGGAAATTTTGCCTGGACAGCGGTGCTATGGCCTAGGGCCTACTCTTATATTGAATTCCATCTGCCGTCATATAGTTCATAGCTATTCACCGAGATCCTTCAGACTGCCAAATGAATGCTGTTTTTAAGATACGTGTCGTTGTAAATTACCTATCTTCCCCTAAACCTTTTGTGAATATTCAGCCGTAGTGGCTTAGTGATAAAAGGTGCTGGTTTAGTACCGGTAACCAAGATGCCCCAAGTTTAATCCTGGTGTTGACCAAGAAAATTTCTTGAGATTTACTGGCATGGTTTCCCCCATGTCAGTGGGCCAGGATGGACCGGAAAGGGATAGGTTTTAGTTGTTCGGATGATATGAAAATTGCCCTGCATGTAAACGAAACTTAGACTGTACGAATTCAATGAAGGGTACGTCCCATTAGCCCACCAGGTGGTGCCATTTTCAATCGAAGGATTGATCTCATTTTAACTCCGAACATCTTATCAAACCCTTCACGTAATACCCTGCATATTTCGTCTCTAATTTCAATTGGCTACTCACCCGGCTGGGTACCTCCCAGATTCCTTGATAGAAAATGTCATCTCGATTACCGGTACCAAGTCTTGCAGTTTCCAGCTAAAATGTCTACCTGTGATAATTGAGTTGCAAAGTTCAAGGTTCGTTCAAGTCAAGGTTTCTGTGGAGGTCCCCATGTTTGATTGGCCTCTGCATGATTGGGCACTTGATTGGGAGATAACGTACGTATAAGTTCGGGAATTTCTGACTAATCTAGCAACAACTAGATGTTGTAAAACTTGGGTCGTTGCTTCAGGAACATAGGGTGGTGCATGAAAAGTAGTATGTTTAACACCATGTTTACATTGGTTTTTCATATGATCTTTTTGTGAATGGTATTTACAATTACAGATACAACTTGAATTTAATGAAATATTTTATTCATAGATTAAATAAAACTTAAACAATACTAAATCCAGTGTTAATGTACAAATGAACAATAAATTCATGTATTAATGTCAAAAGATGATAATTTTAATTAAAGATACATTATGGAAGATTAGATAAAGAGCTGACAGTTCTCACTACAATAGATAAAAACTAGATGTAAATGGATTATGCGGAAAATTTCAGTCAAATTGCTTCACTCTAAGTTGAGATAACCTTATTTTAAAATCTCTGTAGCCTCGATTGTTATTATTGCCGCTGTCACAATAATTAACAAAATCTCGAATATCCATTTTTACGTTAAACTGCAGATCGGATTCTTATCCAATGAAAATCGGCCATGGATTGTTGATTATGGTCTGGATAAGTTAATTAATGTCTAATTAATAATTTAGGTAATATTTCAGGCCTAAAGAAAGACATGCAATAGGGAGATTTAGCTCTTGCATATAATGCATGTTTAATAAAGGAACACTGTATGATGTATGTCTGTTTTCATTAACCTAATCGGTGCGGACGTTAAACCCCATTTCATTTCATTTCAACTTATAATAGACATGTCAGTAAAAAAATATATAAAACCTGTCTGTAATATATATAAGTCATGAATTGCCAGTTTTTAAAATTAAATTTTTTTCTTAATCTTCAGAAAAAACGTGTTTAAGGTTTAAATAACTATGTCATCAGTGGTAATACCAAATCAATACTCTATCCTGAGACTATTTGTTCCAGACTTGAGCCTATTCTCTTGGTAATACATTTACTATTAAATATTTATTCAGATAGAGAGAGAGAGAAATACTTAATACACAGAGAATTTCCGCTTGTTCGATTAATTTAAGGTTATATGTGTTGATAGCACATGATTGATTAAGGTTGGGTTTTTTTTAACAGCTGCATGCATGTTATTCGATTGCATTGGTATTAAAGAGCTATTACAATTTGAATTGATTTTTTTTTTTTTTCAATATAGTCACATCAGGGTTGCTGAAATTCAAGAGAGAGAGAGAGAGAGAAATGGGGTTTAACATCCACTTGACACAGACTAGTACTAGATCATTTTGGGACTAACATATATATATATGGTTTAATTTTATTTCAATAATTTGCTTGCACGTTGGAAGAAACTGGAGTAACCAGAGAAAACCCACGAGGTTGGAAAGGCAACCCTACTCCTTGTCACATTCAAGCAGGGATTCGAAACCATGCCACTTGACTCGATGACAGACCTTGTGATTTTATACGCACGCGTTAAACCACTAGAGCACCTACACACACACCCCCCCCCCCCCAATTCAAGAAAAGAGAGAGAGAAAAATTGGGTTTAGCGTCCACTCGACACAAATTAGGTAATTTCGGGACTAACATATGGTGTGATTTTATTTCAATAATTCGTTTGTGCGTAGGGGTCTTTAGCAGTGGGAGGAAACTGGAGGACCCAGAGTAAACCCACGAGGTTGGACAGGCGACCCCACTCCTTGTCACGTACAACCTGGGAATCAAAACCATGCCAGTTGACTCAATGACAGGCTTTATGATACAGCGCACACGTGCTAACCATTCAACCATCCCAATTCAAGAAAGGCCATCCTGGTTGCTAATTGAAATTAAAATATAGGTCCTCTACACTAGCTTGAAAAGTTGAGTTAATTTGTCTTAATAACTTAGATAATTTTGAAATTAAGATTATATTCAAAATTTGATAAGGCCTGTCCTGGTTGCTAAATGGTGAGTTCATTCATATGATTCAATTTTATTTCAATAATTCACTTGTGCGTAGGGGTCTTTAGCAGTGGGAGGAAACTGGAGGACCTGGAGAAAAACCCATGAGGTAGGACAGGCGACCCTACTCCTTGTTACGTACACACAGGGGATCAAAACCACACCAGTTGACTCAATAACAGACCTTGGGATACATTCAGCCACCCAACCCCACTTCTGATTAACGACTGGCTTTTCCTGTAAGTCTCTTAGGTGGAAGCAGAGGTAAAGTCCCCAGTAAAAAGAAAGAAGGCATCAACTTCAAGGATCAGTTAATTTTAGATGAAGATTGAGTAGGGATTGGTTGTGTTTAGGTAATTAAGGAATAAGGCATCAACTTTAAGGATCAGTTAATTTTAAATGAGGATTGAGCAGGGATTGGTTGTGTTAAGGTAATTAAGGAATAAGGTGGGTGAGGTGTAGGGGTAGAGGGAGAACAAAGTGTTTAACCTGAAGTGAACTTGTTTAAATGTAAAATATCATTAATTCACAACAAACAGAAAACCCAGTTAAAATATGACATACACACAAACAAGAAAGCTATAATACAATTATAACTAACAGTATTTTATTCATAAAATATTACTTCACACAAAGTCAATTAACATAATTTACAAGATAACAAATAATATCAGCTATAGAACTGTCTTAAAGGTAAAGTTCCAGATTTATTACCTGATGTTTTATTACTTGTGTGTGTTAGGTATGCAAATTAGATATCCAACTGTATGGAGAGAGAGGGATGGGGTTTAACTCCACTTGACACAAACTAGGTCATTTTGGGACTAACACATGGTTCAATTTTATATCAATAATTTGCTTGTGCTTAGGGGTTTTTAAAAGTAGGAGGAAACCAGAAAACCCAGAGAAAACCCTTGTCACGTACAATCGCAGAATCGAAACCACGCCAGTTGACTCAATGACAGACATTATGATACAGTGCGAACGTGCTAACCATTCAGCCACCTAACACCCCTCCAACTGTATGGAGTATTACATCCAATTGACAGAAACTATGTCATTAGAACTCAGGATAAAACCCACGAGGTAGGGAAGGCGATGCTTCACCTTGTCATGCCAAAATGTATGGAATAACCTGATTCTATCTGCATTGTTTTATAAAGTCATTCTTAAATGATGGTCAAAATTGTTGAACTGGGTTATGGATCAAATAAGGATTCATCCTCCAGTGTTTGACCTTATAAACACAACTGAATTTCTTATAAGGGAAAAGAGGGAATTTGATGGCCACAGGTTTATCTAAGGACCACTGTATTATCATGATCTGGTTAGCATGGCAGATCATGTATGTACATAGAGGTATAATTTATTATGCCTGTTGTAATTCTGTACAGATTGATTCACACCCTCACTCAACTTTACGACTAAAACATCAAAAGTTGTTTAAATCAAAAATTTAAAATGATGGTAAGCAATACGCATACACTGTCTTTGACACTGCACCATCATTTGCGAGCTGCTCCCACATAACCAGGCTCTTGGTCATTTTTATAAAAATAGAGCTGGCAGCATATTTGAATAATCCACACAGCCTAATCTTTCCAAAAAGCAATTCTTTTTAAATTTGTCGTATCATCTGGAGTTAAGTTCGGCTCATTCACAGCAACAAGAAGCCATACAGTTTATGCTTTTGTGCCTGTAGTACATAATGAAGTTGTGTGACAAGCGCCTGGTTTTGTGGGAGTGGGTCACATTTTGTCAGTATAAGCACTAATAATGTATGAATTTTGTAATTTAATGCCTGAGAAATGAGCGCACTCCCTCAATACAATAGGTATATCATTATTTAAAATATATACTTGAGCAAAACCTGAGAGAAGCGTTACCTCATAATATATGTTTTAACTAGCAGATCACCTGGGATAAAAGTAGTATAACTATGAAACCGGAAACAGTAATCCAAAGCCACCACTACAGTCACAAATATTAGTATATATTAATAACTTGTCAGACATTGATGAAGTTGTAACTTTATGCCAGACATGTATTTAATATACATGTATCAATAACACCCCCGGAAATCAGTGAATGACAAAATGACAGCCACCATGGGAATTGGGCCTAAAAAAGCCTGAGCATGTACCTGACAATATCTGTGATAAGTGGCTTAGTTCCAGGCTATATAATTAAAATTAGATTCAATTTTTGCTTGGTTTATTTTTTTTTCTGGTTTCTATGACAATTTTGAGATTTTCAATTGTTTCAGACAATCAAATTCTAACCCTAAACCTTACAGATTTACCGGTTCTAAATCCCCATAAAAAGCAGCCATTTTATAGCAATACAGACAGTTTGATTGGCCAAAACGTTAGCATGTATTAAAGAGCCGACTTCAAAGATAATGTCAAAGTAGAACTAATAAAAATAAGTGAAACATAATTGATATCAGATTTTAATCAGATCAAAATGCAGCCCTTTATACCAGTACAGGCAATTTGATTGGCCAAGAGCTGATTTCAAACCAAATATCAATATGGTTACATTAAAAAAAAAGAAATCTATTTGGTATCTGATTTTAATCATATCAAAAAAACATAGAACTTGGTTCTAAAAAGATTTCGAAGTTGTTCTCTTCATATATTTTGTTTCATTATGATATTGTACCTTTAAGTACTGAAAAAAAAAAATTAAATTAGTGAAGATTTCTATGTAAATATGTACAATACACTATACACATGAACTTTTATAAAAAAGTAAATTTTAAAAAAAATGATGATCCTTTTGGTTAAAAGATATGTTCCCTTGAGCACTGGGTCACATGTTTGATCCTCTAAATTTTGGGACCAGGAACTAGACCCGATTTCACTAGGCAGACTGAGGTTAAGAATTTACACCACATTCAATATCTTTGATCCAGAAACACAAAACTTTGCACATAGTTTCTTATTGCTGTATTTGATACATTAAAACAACCCAAGTTTTATTAATGGCTATATTTTAGTAAAAATAAGACAAATAATTTTGTGTCAATTATTAACTGAAGTCTGAGAATATTATGTGAAACCTTTCTCTGGTCTCCAACTGGTATTGTTTGTGATCAGAAAAAATCAAATCATAGACTCAGACTGCCTGACAAATCCACAAGAGGTTAAATAATACAGAGTGTCAACCAGTGAATCTGCCATTGATATCAGAACACATTGCTTGGTAACATCCATTGCAACTGTATACCATAATCACAGTTACATTAATTAATACTTGTAAATTGTCCGAAATCTTCCAGTGAAGAAGCTCTAAAGACCATGATTATCGAGGATATCTTTAAGAATCTAAATGTTAAAATTATTAATAAATGAATAATGAGATTATTAGTAATGGCTGAATGCTCAACTCTTTCCAAAGCCTGCCCTTAATTTTTTAGGACTGATTGAAGTTTTGGTATTTTTGGAAGTACAAAAATTTTGGTTACCTTTTTTTTATACCTGGATGTTCAGCAATAGATTTTGCTGCCAGAGAGCATTAACAAGAACCATAACTCAAGAAGAAATGAATGGAAAGAGAAAATGTATTTGATGAGCATTCATTCCTATAATCTGAACAGCGCTTATAGAGATTGCACGATAACATCAGAACAGCATTTATGCGATTCTACAAAGTTGTTATCATAAATTCAGTAAGCTTCTTCAGCTCCCTAATGTAAACATCATATCGTTGGTGAAGTGTCAAAAGAGTGTATCTCGGGGAAATTAATCAAATACACTTTTCGCATTTTTTAAATCTCCCAATTAATATGTACATTTCTGTCTAAGCTGTGTATCTCTACGCCAATTAGAACTGTTCTGGGTATCATGTGTCCAAATGTTGTATCTTGATTTGTGGTGTTAAATCCCATTTCATTTCATTTCATTCTGATTTGTGGAAATTTTGAAATGCAAAAGGTTCTATTTCTTAATCTTTAGAAATTCTTAGGTACACCCTTTTGACACTTCACCGACGATATATAAATTTTAAAAAGATCTGATCCTGACCAACAGAGATGGCACAGTGACCACCTGTTGGCATATAAAAAGTATAAAGGTAAAGTTGAGCATTCTGCCTTCAAGGGATGGCTTTGAATTAATATACAAAGGTTTTTCAACAGACTGCATTAGTCCGACAACCTGTACATAAACTAGTTTAAAAAAGAAATGGTTCCATTAAAATTTTTGATCTTGTCAAAAAATTGTGTGTATATCATTTAGGGTAACCATAACAAGACATTCAAATAAAAATACATACATAACTGGTATTATTAGACGTTTCCACGGTAACCACTACTGATTAGTAAGGTGCATTATACTTTTCAGTTCTGTGGTCTTAAAAAATGATCTGAATGAAATTGTTATTGTTATTTTGTAAAGATAGATTGCCAGACAATGAAATATACGCCTACAGCAGCTAAGTCATCCAAGCAATCTATAAAGGTTGTTGCACATTTAAATTTTTTTGGGTTGATAATGTGTGCATTTTCATGACGGAAGGAATTTAAGTCTTTAAATCACCAGGATCGAACCTGGTACGCCCTGGTTAGTGGGTTATTACCGTGGCACCCTGTCTAAAAAAAAACAAACCCTGTGTATAAATTTCCAGACAATCTGATGATAATTTCGTCTCTAGCAACAAGGGACAGACAGACAGTGGTGACAACAATATTCAACAACATTTCAATGTGGGCGTATAAAAATCAGTTAATGACATTTCGGTTCTCATTTTACAAAATGAGTCAAAAGATCCATAGGTAAGGGGAATATAATTGTCGAGTTTTTCTCCGCAGAGATAGAATTGAGTGTCTGTAGATATCGAAGCTGTAAGGCAGCAGGAGAGTCAACCATAATATCGGCAGCTTCTTTTAAAGCTTTAGATGCTTTCTGTTCTCCTTCAGCGGCAATAACCTAAAACAGAAAAAATAAAATCTGAATATTGACATATTTATATCATTAATTTGACAAGATAACAGCTAGGCTGATGTCCCTGGCCTTAGTCACAAAATAAATAGATGACACCCATTAATTCCTCAGTTATCCATTCACAAAGCATTGCTTATCACTCTGCTTAACTTGAGCTATCACACAGTTATCCTGTCCGAAAGAAATGAAATGAAATTTAACGTCCTACTGTTCTGCTCTGATTGGGTTAATGAAGACGGGCATATGCCATACAGTGTGATATGAGCGTAATTTTGCCCGGGCAGCGGCACTATGGCTTACTCTTACATCAAATTCCAACTGCCAGGAGGTCTTTTAAGTGCATGCCAATGTGTACACGGGACCTCAGTTTTTCATCCCATCTGAATGACTAAACATCTGTCCTTGTCAGGCCCTCTGTCCCACACCACTGACAAGCGGAAACCGTGTCCCAAAGAAATGAAATGAAATGTAAAAAAATGGGGTTTTTTATGTTCTACTCTGACTGGGATTATGCTAAAGCATCCACAAATCAAATCAAATGGCAGGGGACATTGAAAGGGAATTGCGGGAGCTAGATAAAACCCACAATTTTGGGGTTTAACATCCACTCAAAACTAGCACTGGGTCATTTCAGGACTAATATATAGAATATTTGGTAAAACCAAAAAATGGAATTTAACGTCCACTCAACACAAACTAGGTCATTTCGGGACTAACATATGGTTCAGTTTTATTTCAATAATTCACTTGTGCGTAGGGGTCTTTAGCAGTGGGAGGAAACCGGAGGACGAAGAGAAAACCTGCAAGGTTCAACAGACGACCCTACTATCCAACCATGCCAGGCGAAACCATGCCATCCAAATGTGTATAAATCTGAAGTCAATCAGATAAAAATAGTGTATCCTATTAATTATTGTATCTCAGATTTCAGTGTAGTCATATCAAATTATAATTCATACTATACCTTTGCTCTGGCTTCTCTGGCAGCCTCGGCTTCAGCAGCCATAGCTCTTTGTAACTGTACTGGCAGACGAACATCTTTACTGTAAAATAAAAGTAAAACATATATATGTCATAATCAAATATCAAATTAGCATATATATGGACAGACTATATATATGAATCATGAATCCATCATATTAAAAATTGAAGTTCATCAACTGATGCACAACTGTCCAAAAAGCGAGATTGCCAAGTTTCAAATTGGGGGACCATTAGATATTTTTTTTGATGAGCTTAGCCCCAATTAACATTCCAATTTGATCATCAACATTCCAATTTGATCATCAACATTCCAATTTGATCATTAATATTCCAATTTAATCTTAATTTTCTGCCCTGACCCGGCTAATGAAGACAGCATACACTATGCAGTGTGTTATGAGTGAAATTTTGATCTACAGCAGACTATCATACCCATCTCCTTGTTTATTCCACCTTGATGACAATCTGATTAAAACACAGATCCTATTTCGTTTCGTTTTTATAGTTCAAAATTTCGTTTTATTTGTCTTTACTACACTAGGATCTGGAACAGTTGTTATAGAATGCTTGTTCTGGATGATGTGAGCTATTAGCCAATGAAACAGTCTGTTACGACAAGTTTTTGACGTGAGGTGCACGGAACTGTGGGTAATGCCCTAGAAACATCAACGCTGATTGGTTAATCAAATGTCTGACATCATAGGGTCAAAAGCTACTTGTATGACCTCTGACGCAACCTTCCACTACAACCGGTAAGATTTTCATGTAGTGTAGGCCATCGAAAGTACTTGTTATTCGAGACTTAGCCTAACTTCTCCAGTAAATGGCCGAAGCGTTCTAATCTACTTAAAATCTGAGCTATCCGATGGCCTAGAGAGATGATTATGGGCTTGGTCATGTGAATAGATTTCTAAATAATTGTTTATATAACAATTTAAGCCAATTTAAAGACCTGCAATAGGCTGAAACTACTGCTCCGTCAAGTGTCTAAAACCACCCAAATCACGAGAATAGCTGTGACCTTGGGCGGTTTCAAAAATGAGCTACAAAACTCAATGTAAAAAAGATAACTGTTCTTTTACTTTTCAGGGATTTAGGATAGTCAACCTTTTTATGTACCACAGGCTAAAGGTTACGATCAAGCAATGAGTTGTTCTAGAACAGAAGACATGAATATGTCAGACTATTAGTCTACTTCCAACGTTTTATACTAGCTGTATTTGAAATGAAATGGAATGGGGTTTAATGTCCTACTCTTCTGCTCCTTAGTTGTCTTTCATAATACATGAAAGACAGAGTCCAAACAACACTTATTCCTAATAAAGTTTAAATATAATTACACTTATTCCTGATAATGTTTTAATATAATTACACTTATTCCTGATAATGTTTAAATATAATTACACTTATTCCTGATAATGTTTAAATATAAAATTACACTTAATCCTGATAATGTTTAAATAAAATCTTTGATAGAATGGTGGACTTACATTTCAACACGTTCTACTTTAATACCCCATCTGTCTGTAGCTTCATCCAATGTATTCTATAAAATAACAATAAATTAACTAATCAGTCATTTTATAATTCGGTATTTTCATTCACCATTTTGTAACAAAATGAAATGAGGTCTTAAGTACACTGTTAGGCACCGACTGGGCTTATGAAGACAGGCATACAGCATGCTATGAGAGACATATGCCCGGGACAGTGGCACTACAGCCTAAATTGTCAAGGGTTCTTTTACGTGCACATGGGACCTCAGTTGTTCGTTCCATCTGAACGACTAAATTTGTAACATTCATAATAACACAATAATCATTGTAGCAAATTGGTTATTGTGAAGGTACTGGCACCATTAAATTTCTCGTAAAAAATTTGATTATAATGAACATATCAGCACCATTAAATTCCTTGTAACAAATTGGTTATTGTGAAGGTACTGGCGCCATTAAATTCCTCAGAACAAATTGGTTATTGTGAAGGTACAGTACACCTTGCATAAGTCGGATTAGTATAAGTCAGATCTTTGCTCAACTCGGATAAAATAGTTTGGACCCTTTGATCCTGCACGTTTTTCTTATTAAATTTCTGCCCGTAAGTCGGATTTCCCAAGTCAGATCTTTGCTCAACTTGTATCAAAATGTTCGGTCCATCTGATCTAATTCCGTCTTTTTTCCGACAAAGATTTGATATTGAATGAATGTGAAAGAAATTAATGCTAAATACACAAGATAAAATGATACCAGGGGCCTGTTTCACAAAATTTTAACTAAGATAAAATCCAAATTTTAGTAATTTGATTGGATAATATTAGATTGATTTTAGTGCTTAGCCAATCAAAATTGAAGTATCTGCTAAAATTAGATTTTATCTTTAGTTAAGATTTCGTGAAACAGGCCCCAGGGTTACAGTATTAAAATGTGATATTTGTGGTAAGTCATTTATCCCTTTGACACTACTTTCAACAAAATAAAAACCACAAAACTAAAATCCTCCATCCCGCATCAAATGTTATGGAAGGAATGTCTGGGAAGCATGTTATTTTTTGTGCATGGCCTAACATCAAAAACTAATAAATCACAAGAAGTTTTTATCCCATTATTATCCAATTATTTGTCAAATCTAGGGGAAAAAAATGTGTTCATTTACCTTAATAACTGTCATAGATTTGTTTAAATAAAACAGACATCATGGTATTATTTATGTACATATTAATATAACTTACTGTCATTAATAGACATGTTACAGTAACTAGTAACAAGTTAATACTAACAGATGACTCCTATAACCTCTTAAAGACAGCCCTGTAACTGACTGTCATTTATTGACATGATACAGTAACAAGTTAACACTAACAGATGACTCCTATAACCTCTTGAAGACAGCCCTATGTCATCATTTATGTAAATATCTAGGTGGAATTAAAATAATTCTGATCTTGAGACCTCACACATTACGATAATTTTTCATGCCTATTCGAAATTGTTTCTTGGTGTTTGTAGTTCAATGTCAGTTACAAATAATGGATTTTAAGATTTTAAGTAACATTTGGGCCATATTTTCTCCCCCCCGCACCTCCCCCCCCACGACAACTTAAATAGATTCAAATACTTTTGAATTAAATCTAGACATATCCAAACTTCATGAGCCAATTTTAGCCCTTTCCAATCAATGCTAAGATGCAGACTTGACTGTGTTCCTTATGTAGGACTTACTCCAAATCAGGAATTGCTCCAGGAATTTTTACAAGGCCCACCCCCCTGTCCTACGGTTGAAATAACCTGGCTCTGCCTCTAATATGCACAATTTCAACAACTGATATATGAATCTCACCTGCATGTCCTGACTAATGATGTCTCTTTCAGCCAGAATTTCTGTCAAATTTTTGGTACCAAGCACATTTCTGAGAGTTGTCTGAGCCAGAAGTTGTGTGGAATGAGCAGCATCTGCTACATTAGCCACAGAAACTGTTGGATTGGAGATTTTATAATAAACAACAGCATCCACAGATACGGTAACACTGTCTCTTGTTAAAACCTAAAATATATAAAAACAATATTTCTAAATCACAAATTATTTTCTACAAAAAGGAAAAATATAAGGAACATTGGTTGAGTCAGTGAGAGAGAGAGAGAGAGAGAGAGAGTACCAATATGTCATTTTCAGATATCAAATCTATTCAATAAGACACTTGCATGCAAGGGTCTTTAGCACAGGACAGGAAGGAACATGATAACCGATAACCTGATAAAAAATCCATGATGTTAGACCAATGTTAAGACTGGCAGTCCTAACAATTTAAAACATACGACTTTGATTGCTCAGCCCCCAAATCTATGGTTAAGAGTACATTTAGCAGATGCTTGTTGTCCCAGCCAAATAAGTAGATGTATTACAATGCCAGATCCCTACATCCTGCACCAATGACGAAAGGGAAACCAGGTTTGTAAACAGAGATGAACTTTCACACCCAACACTGGGATCAAACCCGGGACATATTCACCAAGACTCAAGCAAACCCGGAGCCACAGTGGCTAAGTGAGTAAGATGCTGGTTAGCTAGTCTGGAGGTAGCGGGTTCAATTCTAGTGTTGACCGAGAAAGCTCTTCTTGATTTTCCTGCATGGTTTCCCCTTGTAAATAGTGGTGGATGGAGGGCCTGACAAGGACAAATGTTTAGTTGTACGGATGGGACGAAAACCTAAGGTCCTGTGTACACATTGACGTGCACGTTAAAGATCTCATGGCAGTTGGAATTTGATATAAGAGTAGGCTGTAGAGCTGCTGTATGGCGTATGCCCGTTTTCATTATCCCAGACGGAGCAGAACAGTAGAACATTAAAGGGCCAATCCTGATAATATTTTGGAGAATAAAACTGCTTAATTTTGAGTTAAAATCCCATAAAAGCCTCTACCTGAGGGCCTAGCAACTAACTCAATATATGTGATACGTTTTCAAATAACTTAAACCTGTCAATCTTCATCTGGAAGTGGAAACCAGTGTCCCAAGCTGTATTATGCGGTGTCTGGATAAAACCAAGACTTTTATTTTATAAAAATAATGTGTCGGTGAAATTTACCTTTCGTTATCAAGTATAGCACATCCCCCTTGGGTCATTCACTGTATGAACCTCAAAAGGAACAGGAATCGATTATCAGGTCACCCGTCAAAAAATTGACCCGAAATCTTAAAAGGGTTACGTGTCCGGATAAGCAGTTTTGAAGTTCACGTCCAAACGAATCATTATTTTGTGCTAAAATTTTGAGAAGGGGTATATACAACATTCCTCTATATTTTGGCGTTTAAAGTTCATACGTACTCGGACTTTTATTTTGTAGTCTTTGTTCAAATCAGGATAGTCCCTTTAAACCTCATTTCATTTCATTTATTTCCAAGTAATCCAAGACATATTCACCATCATCACTTCAAGTAGCACATTATCAAATATCTAATAATTATGCCATTGTTTTGTTATCAACTAATTAATCAAGTTAGAAGACACCAATTCTGATTTCAGCTCAAATTACAATATTCTGTGTAACGATGCACAATGGATAACAGTCGATCAGTTTCAATAAGAATTGTTATATTTTCTAGACAACTGATTAAGTTTTAACAAAAGCCTGTTTGGAATCTATCAAAGAAATCTCTATGGTAATACACTGATGCAGAATCAATCACTCGGGTAATTCTATACCAAAGATTCTCAGCCAATCTTTTCTTTAGTTTTCTTTTATTCATAGATCTTTTGGTGTCTGTGTTAAGGTCATCACCGAATTTCTTTTTCAATTAGTCAGCATTTAATGACAGTCACAACAATCAGTCATGTGATACAAACACCTTAAGGAATATATTCGTTCACAGCCATTGAAGGCTATTTTCTTTGTTCAAAAAATCACGGAAAATCAAAGAAAAGCAACCTTATTAGCATAATAGAAGAACAAAAAGTAAATTAGAAAGGTTTTGGACTAAGATGTGAAGTGGGTCATTGCGTAATCATACACAAAAAGTAGAATGTTTCAGCAAACTTGACATTTGAAGATCCTTGAACTTTGCAACTCAATTATCACAGCTAGACATTTCAGTTGGAAAATACACAATTTCGTATTGGTTATGATATTTTCTATCGAAGAATCTGAGAGGTTCCCTGTTGGATCAGGAACCAACCGAAATTAGTGCCGAAAAATGTAGTGTATTATTTGAAAGCCTTGATAAGATGTATGAAGTTAAAGGACAATATTGAGTGTCTGTCATTATCATATATATGTCACAGAACTGGATAAACACGTTCCAAATATAATTTTAACAAAGAGATCATCACTACGATAGATGAGTAATTGAGATTTCAAGAAACGGAAGTGACGAAAGCAAAACCAAAACACAAGTTATCCTTCTATATAACTGACTGAAGTGACGAGTGATAAAAGATAGACAGGCGAATTTCTGCTCACTAATAATTTCTTCAAAGACCAAAAGTTGTTATATGAGACTCTGGGAGGATGGGAGGATATTGGACAATTAAAAAAAATAATTGTCACTAGATAAGAGAAAACGAAAAAAAATAGAAAAAGTCTGTGCATTACCATGTTTTTATTAAGTACAGAATGAATAAAAACAAGGGAATGTATGGACTATTTCTAATTTTCTATTGTTCACAAGAATCAAAAGTTGTATTATTTATGAAAACCCCTAAAAATTCAAAATACTAGATGATATTTGAGAGGTAAAATTCCTGAGATGAGATCAATTTAATTCAACACTTCTATTATTCCCTGAAGCAAACACGGACGACCAATTCACTTCAAAGTAAACAACCAGCCATTCCCTGATGTTTTAACGCTGGAAAAAACTAATGGTGGTCAATCAGTCTAATCTTACAGACGACAAATTGAGCAAACGAGCTGTGATCCTTTCTTATCAATGTCTCGCTGATTAAATTAACTAACTGTAAATCACCATCATCAAGTCGTATTTATACTAGACCGATCAGCAAGTGATCGACCTGTACAGCCATAAAACTTTATCCTACTGATATTAAATGTCTTCTTCATCATTCATACCTTGATCAAATTATGGACCGATTCGTGAAAGAGCCGTTAGATCAATTAAGTTTGCATTTTTTATTTTCTACATGTTATAAGGCTAAACCTAATCAGACAGGTTTGACTGTAACAGAGAGAGATAGAGGGGAGATTTCTAATCAAAATGGTTTGACTTTAACAGAGATAGAGGGAGGGGAGATAAATAGGCTCAGGGCGAAGTAATTTGACTGAAATTTTCAACATATTCCCTTTTCATTATCTATGTTTTATCTAATATAGTGAGAACCATCAGCTCTATATCTAATCTTACATAATGCCCCTTTAACTGAGATACAGGATTACAAAGTCAGACACACAATCTCATTCCTAATGGGTTGGGGGGGGGGGGGGAATGTAATATTTAACCTCATACATAACTTTAACACTTTTCAGACACTTTTTTGTGTGTAAATTTAAAAAAAACAGGGATACTGAGATTGTTTCAGGCATCATTTCAGTAAAAAATTCAATATAAGCAGAATTAATTAGATAGATGATTAAATCATGTAAGTATATGTAATGTATCATCGTGAAACCTATTGGGTAAAATAGCTTGAATACATGCATGATGATCAAACGTTAATATCTTTTGTCACCTATATTAAATCTGAACTTTTTATCTCAAAGCTACAAAATCAAATTAAACAAAAGATTACAGCGCCAAAAAAACCCCAAGACCAGGGCACTTTAATAGTTTCTGTTGCTTAACCTGTGTAATATTGAAATCTGATAGAATAACAGAAGCCATGATATCAAATTAAAAGGTTTCAGCAAAATATTTAAAAAAAACTTGGTACTAAAAAGGTTTCTGATTGCTGCAATTAAATCTGTTCCTTAGTATCAAAATCTAACTGGAAAGCAGAAAGTCAGAAATAATCAATTGGAAATCGGAGGATTTGGTTTTCTCCTTATTGTTGAATAATTTTATTTTCTTTTCACACAATTTTACCAGATGGAATTTTATAAACGAAAAAACTGGACTAAAGAAAGAACAATGTATCAAAGAGCTTGGAACGAAAGGGGTGCAACAGCTCTCGCTCCCCTGGGCTTGCACAAAATCAAATTTGGGGCAGCTTTTTATTAGGTGCCAAACCTAATCAATTAGCTTTAATTCCTCATCTCAGTGAGAGAGAAATACGGTTTAACGTCTACTCGACACAGACTAGGTCATTTCAGAACTAACATACGATTCAATTTTATTTCAATAATTTGCTTGCGCATAGGGGTCTTTAGCAGTGGGAGAAACATGGAGGACCCGGAGAAAACGAGATTGGACAGGTGACCCTACTCCTTGTCACGTACAACCAGGGATTTGAAACCAGACCAGTTAACTCAATGACAGGCCTCATGATACAGCATGCACATGCTAACCATTTGGCCATCCAACTCCCCCATCTCAGCGAGTCTCAGTGGCTCATATATTTATTTAGAAATGTCGACAAGTATTTCTATTGGAATACTGTAAGTAGTTTAAGATGATAGCAAAAGTTTAACTTGACCGTACGAGTGCTATTATTTAGCAGACGATGTTTATTACCATTTATGTAACCAGGAATGACCCCTTACACGAAGTTATTCATCTTCAGAACCATTTCCCATACATACAACTAATCACTCTCCTTAATTTCTAAATCACTCTTGTTGAAACTGGAAGAGTTTTTTTTAGGGGAGTGATTTTTTTCAATTTGTTCATTAAAGTAGCTAAGTCTCTAACTCAATTTCATCCAAAATCTTCAACATTGAAAACACGATTTATTTGCCAAATTAAATCAACATTCATGTTGTGGTCTTACTGGAAAAAGATGGGCTTTTGATATCCAATATTTAAGACAAAATAAACATTTTACCATTGGTACATGAATCGTGTACCATAATGCGCTTCAGCCCCAGTTGTATCAAGAGACTCGAGGGACGAGGCTAGACACATTGCACCAAATCAAACAGCGTATGTAGACT